TTGCTGTGCCTTATCAATACAGTCTTTTTAAATATTAAAGAAACTATATCTATGGGTACTATAAAAAATTTTAAACAAATAATTTAGCGTTAAAGACAGCAGACAGATTAATATGATTATCAAAGCATCAATGACTAAAAAATGTAATAGCAAATACAGTATATGCTTCATTGCATCTCTGATTCTACTCTACAAAATATCAAAAACCAACTTAATATACAAAACAGTTCTTTTAATCTGTTCCATCGTCCACTGCCTTTACATTTTCACACTTACCATTAAGTAAGCATAGTGACCGATATTTCATTGATTTTAGAAACAAAAGAACACTGTGTACTGCTTAGTTTTATGATATTTTCCTTGGTTTAATTTAATCAGTGTTGTGGCAAAACACTAATAATAAATGTATCAAATAAAGTAAATGTGAACTTAAAGCCATGCTAAGATAAAATAAGAGTATGTTGTATTACCATTTGATAATTAAATATAGCCTAGTTATACATATACAAGAGATTTTAGAAAACTAAAATCAACGACATACAATTTAGTTATTGATGATATTCTTTAGTTTAATTTATGCATAGGTTTGGCAAAACACAATAACTTAATTTACCTAAATATATATATATAAAAAACAATGTGATGTGCAAGTTATGTTAAGTTAATCTAACACATGTTAAGCAGTTAGAATTGATTTAAAGTAGCCTCCAAATTCATTCAAAACATCTATACATTGTTATTTTCATACTGTTTCCATTAAAACATATCAATAACATTATTTTCATAACTTAGACGCTTTAAAAAATCCATAGCAGAGCCAGAGTCGATACAGCAACGATTATAGATTTTTTCTATAATCATTGACATAGTTTTAGATTAAATAATCCATGATAAACGGTTAGATTAAAATAAACCTACCTCATAGTTATGGAAAATATTATATTTAATAATTTCTTTGTATCAGCTGTCTGAAATTGTGAAATATGCAGTTTAGCAGTTCTTTTTGTTTACATTTATATGTCAAAGCAAATGTAAACAAACATTGTTAGTGTTCTCATCGCAGCCATGGAGACGAATCAATATTTACTTTTAAAATGTTCACCTCAGAACGTTTAAAGCCAAAGGGGCAAAGCCTACGGTCAGTGTCGAAATGTGAACAGTCCTATAATGGTCCTTGGTATGGTAGCTATATTTTTGTACAACTTAAGCCCAGTTGGTTCAGTAGTTTTTGCACCTAATAGTAATACACATACAGACAGACACCATTAGATTTTTATATAATAGTATAGATATAGATAATTAAAATCATTCACAAAGGATTTATATAGTAAAACTAAAAATGAGTGCTATAACTTTAAAAAATCACAAAATCTTAGAAGGTTACGTTAGAGTAAAACTAGGTAGTAACTGGAATTCAAATGGTCGTTTCGAGATTACAATTTAAAAATTCTTTGATGGAATAAAATGGGTTTCTTATCAACAAGTCTTTTAGTAGGCTTTTTAATCGGTTTGTATTATTTTCTTTTTTAAGTGAAATCGGTAATTTTTGAAGAAATTTTAAGCCTGCATATGAAGGTTTTTTGGTATAGAATTCTAAATTATGTCTAGGAAGGTTAATTTGAAAGCGTGTGTTATATTTACTTGCAGTGGATAATAAATGAAATTGTTTTGCATAAATTATTGTCTCATATATATACAAACTGTAAACTGTTAATACACCCAATTCAGGAAAGATATTTTTAACTGAATCTGTTCTTTTTAATTTCATGATCACTCTAATAGCTTTTTCTTGTTTTATAAGTATTTTATCCAAATTTGCCTTAGTTGTTGCTCCGTAAATGGCGATTCCATAGGATATGTGGGAATGAATTAGAGAATAATAGATTATCCTAAGAGTTTCCAAGTTGCAAACCTTGGACATTAGCCGCAAGGCATGAATGCCAGATGATAATTTATTTACTACATAGTTTATGTGATTATCCCAAGATAGATTTTCATCAATAACCAGTCCCAGAAACTTTGTTTGGTTTACCTGATCAATTTTGTCTGTTTTTATAAAAATATTAGGTTCAAATGCTGTTATTGATTGTTTAGTTGAAAAGGATATTAGATTTGATTTTGTTGTGCTGATAAGAAGATTTCTTTCATCCAAAAACTTTTTTATAGAGAGAAGACTCCTGTTTGAGGATTTTTCAATAGTTAAATTGGATTTTCCTGAAAACAAAACATTAGAGTCATCAGCATACAGACACATAGATCCATCACTGACCGGGATCATCTCTGGTAACCCCTTAATGTAACAGAGGAACAAAAGAGGCCCCAAGATCGATCCCTGGGGTACTCCATATCGTAGTGTCTGCCGCTGAGATCTAAAGTTTTCAATATATTTAGTATTTCTTTTCTCTATTACGTAGTCCACTTCAACAAACTGTTCTCTGTTTTCTAAATATGAAGTGAACCACCGTAATTCTTTTCCTATTATTCCTAATTCATTTAAAATATTTAATAGTTTACAATGTGAAACGCTGTCAAAAGCTCTACTAAGGTCTAAAAATATTCCAACTACTTTATCACCATTATCTACAGAATTTATAATTGATTCAATAAAATCTATACCAGCTGTTATTGTAGATTTTCCTGGTCTAAACCCGTGTTGCTCCTTATCAAACACTTGATTCGTTTCAAGGTAATTAAAGAGCTGAATATAAACAACTCGTTCAAACATTTTTGAAAAAACCGGTAAAAGAGATATTGGGCGATAGCATGATGGGTCTGCGGTGTTTCCTTTTTTGAATATGGGAATAACTTTGGCTAATTTTAATTTGGATGGAAAAATTCCTGAAATCAGAGAAGAATTTATTACATGTGCTAATGGTTTTAAAATATATGGTAGTGATCTTTTAATTATTGTGATAGGTATTTCATCATACCCCGTTGAATATTTATTTTCAAAAGAAAGTATTAATTTTCTAAGATTGTCTTCAGTTATAGATTCAAACTTAAAATTTTTAATAATGCAAGATTTTGAGGGTTTCTGTGTTACTGTACCTATTGCTGTTGTTAATGGTTGTGAAACATATGGCAAAACAAGCTTTTCAACTGCAGTTGTAAAAAAGTTATTAAATATATTACTCACTGCCAGTGGGTGTGTTACCGTTTGACCATTTTGAATAATGGTTTTATTTGAAGTTAGATCTACTGTTTTCGACTTAAGTTTTATTTCTTTTTTTATAATTTTCCATGTTACTTTAGTTTTATTAGTGGCATTTTTTATCTTTTTGCCGTAAAATGTTTGTTTCGCTTTGTTAATTGATTCTTTAAATTCTTTTTTCTTTATTTTAATCATTTTACTCATTGCATTATCTTTTCTTCTCCTACATAAATTCTCAAGTTCTGTTATTTCAAACTTTTTCTCTACTATTTCACCTGAATTCCATTTACCATCATTGTACTTTCTTTCCATACTAATTACTTTTGGAAAATTTACATCAAAATAATAACTAAAAAAAATTATTACCACTATTCACCACTATAATAATGCACACTGATAGTCAAAACAACTACAACTTTAAGGTTATGTAAAGAAATAATTTGAGGAATCAGCAAAAATAAAAATTAATAGTTGCTAGGCAACAGTGACAATAACACAATTCTTTTGCTATGCTATGGATTTTGATTTGTATTTAAAATGCATTCATATTTAAGTAAGCGGACAGCTGATTTTGCGGCCCCGGCCTGTAAAAACCTGCTCGGTCCCCAAATTACGATGACAGCTGGCATAGCCAGCAAAACGTAACTTTCAGCCACCAATTAACGTATGTAATACAACCAAAAACATCATAGTGTGGTGAAAAATTCTTTAATTCCCTCTAAATATGAATACTCATAAGGTTAACATGGGGAACTCTAGAGCCACTGGGGCGGAGCCCGAAAGGATTTTTGATATAAGAATATGCCTATATGTCAATCGGGAATGTGATTTTTAAAGTAAAATTGTATGTGGTCTTATTGACTGAATATTTTCAAATAGTTAAAATGAACAGTTGTTAACATTCTTTTGCTCAAATTTGTATTAGTTGATAGACCATTATTTGATATCTTCCTCTTAAAAAAATTGAAACGAATCAATACAAATTCAAAAAAAAAGGTATTTCACTGCCAGTCCCAAAATTGGCCCATCTCGAGAGAAGATATTGCTTTACGAGCGAGGTGAGGCCGAGCACAGAAAACAAATATCAAACCCGTAATGGAACTTTTGTGACAAGTAGTGAACAATATTTTTCATCATAATTAAAATAAAGACAAAAAGCTTATTTTTCTTAATTTTATTTAATAAAATATTATACCATGGCCTAAACATTCTCTTCAAAGTTGTTAAATAGCATAAGCATAGTTTTACTATTTTTGCCGCTCAAGAATTGTAGATGCCTGCACAAAGCTTTAGCAGAGTGTAGCCATACATTTTGAGAGCGGTAATAAATGTTAGTGCTCGTAATACACACAAGATTTATTCTACCACCATAATTAACTTATCATAACACACAGATAAACTTTTAGCTGTATATAAAATGTCATTTAGGCCTAGGTGTGTTTGATTTATTTTGGTTATTTTATTTGCTTACCAGTTGTTAACATACCAGCTCCGCGACTGTCGTTGGTGTAGAAACACCTACTGTGAAATCAGCTGAATTAGCGAGCGGAAATGAGCTATTTGGTATACTGTTTAAAAATGTGGCAATATGATCATTTCCATGCAGAAGTACGAAAAATTAATTTTAGGACAGGTAAAATCATGTGTTTTGATAGATTTTAAATTTTAGGTAAAGCTCAGCTGTAAGAAATTATTAATATTTATTCAGGTTTTTTTATTGCTAATTTTTATTTTTACGTTTTATTTCCTCAAACCATTTTTTCAACTTGAACTTGAAACAAGTTTTGGTAAAAAAACCCCAAAATATTTGCATTAAAACGTTAAGCATTTAACAAGCGTATTTTTGAAGGGTATCTGTGACGGTGCCGGAGCCGTTGTGATCGCTAGTGAGCAGGCTGTGAAGCAACATAACCTAACTCCGCTGGCTCGTCTGGTTGGCTACTCAGTGGTGGGAGTGGAGCCGAGCATCATGGGTATCGGCCCGGCCCCCGCCATCACCAATGTGCTTAAGGCTGCGGGGAAAACTCTCAACGATGTTGATCTGGTCGAGGTAGGTGCTTGACAGCTATACAAGGTCTGTTCTGGATAAAAGTATTAGGTGTTAATTGGTGTTTTTTTTTAAATTTAAAAGTCAAAGACCACAGAAGCCACATCAAGCTAGACATTGTCACTGCATCGAGTTTAAAAAGCTATATTATCATCAGAAATTTGCGATCAGGATTAGTAAAAACCATATTTTGGGATTTGGAATATTTATTCTCGATCAGGTGAAAAAGAGCCAAAAACATAACAAGGTTAGAATACAGACTCATCCAAAGCTGGGATATCACTAAAGAAAACCCATACAGAGAGAGAGAACTGAAAAGTAGTCAAAACCTTAACCCTTTCGATGCTAGAATATTTTTTTGTAATTTTCCGGAAAATGCTATAGTTATTTGCTTATTTTGTCCGAAAAATGCTAGGCTTGCCACAGGTACAAAGTCTAGTGTGCGAGAAAAAATCTGTAAAAATAAAATTGTTCATCTGAAAGTGCTAAAGAACGATATATCGGGCCTCGATCATATGAGGAATCGAAAGGAACCATCGCTGTTTCAAGACTACAACCGAGTCAACCGATAAGCTTATTTAAACTCACATGATCGAAAGTTGTGCCGGCACGATAGATTGTCGCTTAGCGCTTTTCGGATGAAACGCGAACAACAATATATCGTTCCATAGCACTTTTCGGGAAAAAGACTCACAACGATATATTGTTGCATAGCACTGAAAGGGTTAAGAAAACAATACATCAACAATACAAAACAACCATCCTATATCGGCCCATGATCATCAATGCACTGCTCCAATACCTCAAGACGAGAGGAAACACACTAAAACAGGGACTGCGAGATTTGCTGGTGGAATACCTGGTTACTCAACCAAAGAATTCATTAATCTCTTATACAGATAGATGACCAGAAAATAAATGAAAAAGCAAGATATCCAAACAAACGTGATGCTGTTGTATTTCTTGAAGAAAATAATAATAAAGAAATTTGTCTATTGTCTAATAAGTAGAAATAGAGCGCACTGGACATGTCTGTACAAGATGGTGGCTCACGGGAGGGTGTCTCCAACAATCCCTTTAAAAAATATACTTACAATCACTAGAAGTTGATCTTCAAGCAAAAAAAGTATATTTTAAATGTTTGGTCTGTCAGGGTTCCTGAAGTTTAGGACAATATTTCATATTCATATTCAAACATCTTTATTCATTATAAATCATGTACATTGGTGGTACAGTGAATAGTGTCAGAATGCTTAAAATAAAAATACTAGGCCTATTTCTATGTATGGGAGGTGAAAAACTCCTCAAAAGAATATAATGCTAAATTTATTAAATAATCTTTTAGAATTTTCTTGAATTTAGATAGGTTTGTTTCTTTTTTTATCAATTCAGGGACAAATTTTAGAAACTCGTTTCCAGCGTATGAGGGTTTTTTTTATTCAAAAAATTTTAATTTGTGAGGCTGGACCACAATCTCTTCTCCTCCTGAAATTATAAGAATGTACTGAATTTATTACTTGCTCAGATTCATTTTTTTTTTCAATAAGAATTGTTTCATAAATATATTGCCCATAAACTGTAAACATTTGTAATTTCTTAAAATGTTCTTTTGCCGAATCATCTTGTTTAAGCTTAAGCATATAATTCTGATAGCCTCCTTTTGCCGTTTCAGAATGCTATCCATATTACATTTTTTTGTTTACCCATATAATGCTAAACCGAATGAAAGATGAGAGTGGATGTGAGCAAAATATATACTTTTTAGGGTTTTCAAATTACAATAAGTTTTCAAATTCGTTATTTGACAATGCATAAATTCCAGAGTTAGTTTTATTAATAATAAATTTACAGGCACAAAATTCAAATTGCAATTCCTCAAGTAGAACATTACATATTGTATCCGGCACCGAGACCCTCCTCAGTTAAAAACTCTTCTCTGCCAAAATAATAACCCCTCCTTTAGACTTTAATTTTCTAGAAAAACTTGATTTTATTGAATAAGAATTTAAATTAACCCTTTTTATTTCCTCTTCTTTTGTGTCATGTTCAGATAAAACCACTATTTGGGGATTTATTTCGTCTAAAATTGCCTGTAGTGAATTTAACCTAGAGGGGAGGTGTTGAATGTTCTGGTGAAAAATTTTTACAGAATTATGTTGTGATTTTATTTGATTGGTGTGGTGGTTTCTAGAATTGAGTTTAAAGCTGAGAAAGATGACTGTGCCGATCCACTACAACTTAAACTACTATATACATTCTTTGGAATCTGGTTTACAGGACAATCCCTTACTGTAAGGCACTCTGAATTTTCAGCTTTTAAATCACAAGTGCTCTGCTTTTCACCACTACCTAACTTGACCGCTTCACTGAACTGCAGCTGGCCTGGCACCACAGGAGGGTCGAGTTGTTGGCTGGAGTGATGAGTTGCCTGAGAGAAAGTAGTTGGTAGATGTTCATTCTCCAGTTCTGACGTAGGAGTGGTGTTGGTCCTATGTTCTTCCAGCTGTTCTTGGTCACTGGTGTCTGTAAACTTTACCATCTTGATGCAAAGTCAACTGTCAGTATCATAAACTGAGGGAGAAAATAAAATCTTTACTGCAGCACACTCTCATTTAGTATTTTTTTTTAATAATCTTTTTATTGTGGTAAAGCAACTAGCAATAGCATTGACAAGGTCATACAGTAAAGTCAGAGACATACTTAGGCAAAATGTATTAGCAATAATAAAATAGCCTAATTACTACAGTTGGTCCATTTAGATGGAATCGGGATGTCTACTTTAGTTACCAAAAGCCAATTTTAGTGCTCGTGCAAGTATTCTTTGAGCGCTGCAATCTGAAAATGTTGAATGTGTATGAAAATTCCAGATCAACGAGGCGTTTGGAGCTCAGACACTGGCTTGCAGGAAGGAGCTCAACTTGGACATCAACAAGTTGAATGTCAACGGAGGAGCCATTGCGCTCGGTCACCCCCTGGCGGCTTCTGGCGCTAGGATTACTGCTCACCTGGTGCACGAACTCAGGTACAGTGAGAACTTAGATGTTATATCTTCACAATGTGTACGGACAGAAAACCCCATACTGCACCTCTCCTTTTGAACGTGATTGTTGGTTTTGCTTTTTGTAGCTGTTTGGCTATGGTATTCAATTCAATTCAATATTTCTTTATTCATTAAATCACAAAGTACATGAATAGTGTCATTCTCTTAAATGTTTTTATATTCCAACGTTCTTACATTCTATGGATACAAAGTTCTTAAAATCTAACATAAGTTTATACAAATAAGAAATTAACGCTCCTTCTAAAATTTTAAAGTTCATCAAGGGAATACAATACCTTGTTGATGAGAAATGTTTTAAGACCCCTCTTAAATACCACCATGCTTTTTGCCGATTAAATTTCATTTGGAATTTTGTTGTAAAATTTGGAGCCGATATAACTTGGTTTCTTACTGTAAAGTTCTAATCTGTGGCGGTTTAGAGCAATGTTGGTTTTGTTTCTGGTATTGTAGTGGTGGTGTTCACCAGTTAACGCCAATTGAGAAAATCTGTTTTTGACATATAGAACTGTTTCATAGATGTACAATCCGTATACTGTCATTATTTTTAATGATCTAAAATGCTCTTTTGAAGTTCTCGAGTCAAGGTCCAAAATAATTCTTATAGCTCGTTTTTGTAATTTTAGGATTGTTTCTAAGTTATTGATAGATGTAGCACCATACAGAGATATTCCAAAAGAAATAACAGATATGTATATACGGTATGTATATACAGTCGACTCCCTCTAATACGGATACCTCACAACGGACCTCTCTGTGGTGTTTCACATAAGCAAAGTATGACCTGTAATAGATGGTTATGTTATGATTATTAATTACCACTAACGACGGTTTTAGAGCATACTTTCTCTAAAACTACATCAAGGTTCAATAGCGCACTGTGTTAATTACTAGTTATAGTTTAAACATTTTGAATAGAGCAGTTGGATAACCATTTGATCTGAGGAAAAATTCTGGTGTAGTAGCAGAAGGGGAGATACTTTTAAATTACAAATATTTTGAGGTAGTCTAGAACCTTTTTATACAGGGATCATGGTAGCTAAGTGATAGTATCTTGAAGTAATAAGCCGGAGTTTGCTGGTTCAAGCCTGCACTTTATCACTTCAGTCGCTATTGGCTTGCACCTGTAACCTGTATTGTAATAATACTTTATTGTCTAAAGATGAATATGTAAATCAGAAGTCTATGGTGACGGGACGGACCCTTCCACCCTCAGGAAAAACACGGACAAAACCGCCTGAAGTCGGAACTATCCCCGACAGCATCAGGACGGGTGGCAACCGTGATGGGGAAGGACAGTTGTGGGTTTTTTTAAATTTTAAAAAGTTGGTTTCCTTTTACTTTCTTGATGTTAGAAATTTCATTGAGTTATACTTGCTTAATCATGTTTGGGTTTGTCAAATGTTTGAGTGAGCAGGGTTCAGGTTAGCGAGACTACTGTGTTATATTTTTACTTGTGGTCAATGTATTCTGTTAGCCTTGCATTTTGTACACTCTACCTCTCCTCTGAAATCTATGTGTAACAAAATAGGTTTACTAAACATTGAGTTCACATTACTTAACATTGAGTTCACATTACTTAACATTGAGTTCACGTTACATTACTAAACATTTAAACGAATGTTGCAGGCGGAAGAAGCTCAAGCTGGGAGTGGGCTCGGCTTGTATTGGCGGAGGTCAGGGTATTGCTTTGCTCCTGGAAGCTGTCTAAAAATATCATACCACATACTGGACAAGACTGATGAATTTATCATTGTTGTATCGTTATAAGCCTTATTGTTAAGTATTAAATGTCAATGATAAAAGCTAAGAAAGCACTCTACCTCAGTAAGCCTTCGAGATATGTGAGATGGATATTTTGTAGACCTGAATACTTCTTGCACAACTAATTGGTGCCTAGTTACTTTTTAAGTAGATCCACTAAGTAAAAATATGATAAAAAGAAAATCTTTAAGAAATTTACATATTTATAAATATACAAAATTATTTAATAGTACTTAGGCTACAAAGTGCCTATCGGTCGTGAACCAAACACTCACCTCTTAATATTTGCGCTGAATATTTATCAAACTTTACTCAGTCCCTAACATGACAATTATTGATATTTAAATAAGTACTATTTCGTACAGTTACCTAACAATGTACATGTTCTCTCACTGATTTGAGAAAGCAAAGTGGCCAATTCGCTCATCAGTGAGACAATGTTAACATTGTCTCACTCTAATTACTTTGTCTCACTCCAGATTTGCAATGTGAAGGCACGAAATAGTGAGCGCGTAACATGCAGGCAGCATCGTATGCGCGCGAAATACGTTGGCAGCACTGGTTGTAAATCAGCTGGTCAGCTGTTGTACTGTTGTATTTGTCACTTCACATTAAATGTTATATTAAAAGTTCACTTCTGTGTAAAAATAGGTTATGTTTCTTCACCAATTTATTTGTTTTATGGTAACTGTAGGAAAAGTATAATGTCGCAACTCGAGTTCAAAGTACAATTGCCTCACTCGAGAAACCATTCCTCACTCGCCTACGGCTCGTGAGTAAGAATTTCTCTCGAGTGAGTCAATTGCTCACTTTTCTCACTAGTTGCACAAATAACTATTCTCTATGACCTTGGCTAGAGTGCTTTCTTTCTTGTGGTGCCAGATTGTTATTTTTATATAGATTTTATACTTAAGCACAATTCAATCAAAATATTTATACATATGCATGACTATTGAATTGATATTAAATCATATTTTCATACAATATATATTAACTTATTTGTGCTATGTATCTAAAGGGCTCACAAATTTACATGATTTCCTATTTTAAGGAATCATAGTTCCCATTTTGTAGTAACTTTTTATTCTGATGTTTCTTACTAATCAAGCAGTCTAAAAGTTTTATCTTTGACTATTGAATAGTCAAAGGTTTTATTTAAAAATATTAACCTCATGTCAAAATTTTACTAAAAATATTAATCATTAAAGTTATATTGAAAATTAAAATTGCATAAACAAAATATTGTTTCAATAACCTACAAGTGATCCAAGCAATCTGCCCTACAAAGAACGTGTGGTATGAATAACGAAAAGCAATTAACTTAAATAACATTTTACTCTTAATACATTTGTGACTGCATACAGCATATTCTCTCAAAGTAAGGGTAGTTTCTGGCAACTACTTTTTATTACTTTCAGCTCTAGAAGTGTTTGTCACTCTTATTAAGCTTGTCCAGTTCCACAAAGGAGATGTCGTCGTCTGTTAAGGCGTCTTTTTCTAAGTCGTGAGTAATGCTGCTATTGGCTGAATGACCGTCATCTGATCTCTCCAGGCCATTGGTTGCATCCTAATAGACAAATTGTCATATTAATTTGTACGAGACAAGAAACATTCAGGCCCAACCTTGTATATAGGCTGACTGGGCTATAGAGCAGTGTGCTAAATATTTATGGGGCCAAATTTCCGACAATATTACTGTATTTTCATTTTTTACCATATTGCCATACCACGTGTTTTTGTCATGCTCGCACGTAAAAACACAACTTACTGGGCTAGTAATATTCTATTTCCTACAGTCACCCGACAAAGTGTGCTTCCTTTAATTGTACTGATTTTTCCTTTTTTTCTTTCAATCTTGATGAGAAAGCTGCTAATTGCTCCATTTACTTACTTTGCACACACATTTTACTTTGTCGCACAATTTTTACTCTGTTCCAGACCAGTAAGTAGATATAATAGGACAATATGACCCCACTTTCGGCGTTTTAGAGGCACTTTTAGGGCACTTTTTATAGGGGAAAAATGAGAAAAAAATGGAAGAGCTTTTTTTGGCCACTTTTTTTAAAGACCCAGCTCTCGACCTATACACCCCTATATAAATTTTCTACTTTTGTTAATACTAAAAATTACGTCTGGAATATGGCTCATTTTTTGGCCACTTTTTTAAAAGACCTGGATCTCGTCCAATACAAGCCTATATAAATGTTCAAACTCTATTAAAATTTCAAATCCACATCCATTCCCATGTATATTTTCAAAATCATGTGAGGTTTGTGCGTTTGGCTTATGACGTGCTCCCTTGGACATCCTTAGTGGAAATCCATGAGTTCTGGCTACTTGGGAACCCAAGCCATTTGACATACAACGAATCACCTTTTTTCCTAATTATCTTCTCTACCAAATACATGTCCTTATACTTGGTCTTTAACAACTCCTCTGTATAGAAGCCTCCCCTGATTATATTGCCATTTTCATCTTTCAAGATATAAGTCACAGGCTTTGTATTCTTAACTTCTGCTATTGTAAATAGTTCCCCTGTCCAATTTGGAGTATAACCTTTACTAAAAACATGTTTATACTTGGAAATCCTTACGCTATCACCTACCTTATATCTTGGCTTTTTAACTTGCTCTACTTTAGAAGTCAACCTCTCATGTACATATTTACTATTCTTAACATTTACTTGGTTAGGCTTCATTCCTATAGATCTATGCACTTTATTATTATATTTTCGAATTAACTTTGGAAGTAAATCCAACCATTTATAACTCCCCTGAGCACTAAATTCCCTATATAACCAATTCTTTAAAGTTCTCTGAAACCTCTCCACAATTGCAGCCTTAGTTGTAGAAAATGTGTGATAGTGATTAATATTTAATTTTTTCATTAGTTTGCTAAAATATTGATTAAAAAATTCTTTTCCATTGTCAGATTGAATGTTTTTAACCCCCTTTGGTAGAATGGTTTTAATGGCTTCTGTAACCACTAACCCTGTCTTATTCTTTAGTGGAGCAGCATAAGCTTTTTTAGAAAATGTATCTATTAAAGTTAAAATATATTTATTGCCAGAATTTTCTCTAGCATAGTTTTGCATATCAATTAAATCTATTTGTACGGTTTCATTTATACCTAATACTTTGAAAGACCTTCTAATGAAATTCTTTCTTGCAGGTTTATGAAGTTCGTATGCAATTTCATTCATTTTTTATAACATCATCCTTTCCTGTAACTCTAAATACATCACCATTAGCCCCAATCAATAGATTATCTTCCATTCTTTTAAATACATAGTTTTCTGGTATATATGGTCTATTATCTATATACTTAAATCCACTCAAAGATGTGGGGTCAGCAACTAATAAATCAGGATTATATTCCATCAAATTAAATTTTTTTTCTCCATATACAAATTTTGATCCATCATAATGCATAGATTGTGACATTAGACAAATATCATCCAAATGTTCCCCCTCTGGTAGATTTCTTATGAATTGTTTTTTGGCATCCCAACATTTTTCTTTTTTATCAAAAGTTATAGTCTGTTCTTTTATAACACAGTCAGTGTCATCAATGGCAGGTTTAACACGTACTAACCTTTTACTATTAAAACTCCAATAGCCTGCTTCCATTTTTGGAACTTGTGAAACATTCACAGCATCTTTACTATCTGTACCTTCCATCAAATTACTAATTTTCTGTTTCTTCGCATTCCAAACACCATTCTCTGATTCTAAAAATTCATAATTATTATTGTCTTGTACAAATTTACCATCTTCTTTTCGTATTAAAGTCTGTTGTAAAGTGGGCACATCATCTAAACTTTCACCCTTTTCCACATTAGTAATTTTCCGTTTCTTAGCATTCCAAATACCATTCTCTGATTCTAAAAATTCATAATTATTATTGTCTTGTACAAATGTACCACCAACTGTTCGTATTAAAGTCTGTTGTAAAGTGGGCACATCATCTAAACTTTCACCCTTTTCCACATTAGTAATTTTCCGTTTTTTAGCATTCCAATTTTTATTCTTGGATTCTAAAAACTCATATTTAGTTTTACCTTGTAAGAAGACATCACCTTTTCTAGTTAATGTCTGTCCCAAAGTTGATACATCATCTACAAACTCCCCATCTTTAACATTACCAAGTTTACGGTTTAAACCATTCCAACTATCGTCTTGTAAATTTAAAGTAGGTTCACTACTAGCCCTGGGTTCTGCAGGCTTATTATATGGATTATATAAACGATAAAATTTATCTATAAACATATTTTTATTTAATAAATAATTCCACTTTCTCTCAATTCCTCAATAATGGAATCTATTTCATTATCCACTCCTGAGTTACCGGCTTGGCGACTTAGCCAAAGAAGTCTTAACCTATCTACAAGCTCATTAGGATCATCCCAATAAATATAGTCTATTTTCTTACCAGTCACTTGTCTCAAACCTTCACCAACAGATTTAAAAAGAGGTTTAATTATATTAAGATATTTAGTATGTCTATTGCTTGAAATTGGTGCACCATCTTTGTAACTCTTTAAATGTCCATTTGTAGCTTCCAAAATTTCTTTATAATTTTGCAAATCAGCCGGAGTATAATCCTCAGGTTCTTTTAAAGTTAACAATTGCCACAAACCTTTTGTCCCCTTGTAGGTTTTATTTGCAATTGTAACATCATCATTGGCAATATCAACTTCCTTATTTCCAATAAAAAATTTATTTGCTTCTCGTCTAATACCATATGTAGTGTCTGTCATACTACTTTTACTGAGGTAATTTCCTAAATAGTCTGATGCTAAAAGACCAAAATCTAATTTCTGTGGAGTAGATTGTTGTAATGGTTGTAATCTTGGTATTATTGGTATTCTAGATGGAGTCATTGGGAGAATCTCCATTCGAGGCCTCTCTGTTTTGGCGATTTTTTTTAATTCTTGTAATGGCTCTATTAAAGGTTGGAATGTTTGGAACCTCTCTTCAGCCTCTAGAAACTTGCCACGTTTTAAAGCTCTATATTTCTCTCGTATTTGATTTGCAGAGTCAACCAATTCTTGTTGAATGTTTTTCATCTTTTATTTACATTTTATTTATCTCATTTGACAAAGGATTGTACTCAAACACTTTATCATGTATTATCAAACAATATGCAGATGTATTTGCTGGCACATTTTCTGCAGTTTCAATCTCTAATTTAATATCAACAATTCCTTCCTTCACTGTTTCGTTCTGTCTAGAACAGTCTATTACAATTAGTGGATATTTCTTCATAAACTCAGCCCTACTAATCATAGGATCTGGGATAGTATTATAGTAAGTCTCTCTAAACCTCATAAACATCTCATAAGCTTTAGAGACATCTCCATTTTCAAAGTCGAGATTTAAATCACTATAAGGATAATATTCAGAGTTTAGAAATACTTTGAGATTTTTTAACTTACAGTGATCAAATTCATCAGTTCTTTTTCGTGCACTATTATCCCTAGCTGTTTGGAAACCAAATATAATATACCTAGGCTTCTCCAAACTTGAAGATGTCTTTACTGACCATGTATGTCTTGTAGTATTGGGATATGATGGAAGTTCATGCAACTCTAAGCTTCTAAATGCAATTTGCAAATTTTTATTTTGCAGTAACATCTTTTGTAATTGTAACTTCTCCCCATCTGATGGTATTACATGTGGCATCACCCATTGAATTGAGTTAAGTGTAATTTTAGGAATCATATCAGCAGTACCACTGGCTGGAGCACTAGTGGTTGTTAATATACAATTCAAATCATTTTTGGATCTTTTTAACACCAATTCTTGTTTGACATTTACTAATACCTTATTAAAATCCTCAAATACACCCATTAACAGTTCTAATGGCAAACAAGTACTAAACTTGCCACTTTTATGGAACTCTTTTAAATTCGTGTCAGAATCAAATGCCACATTTGACAATTTAGTAGTTTTATTGTAAGAGCTCAATATTTTCATAAGACTAGAAATTCCTGGGTTTCTTACAATGTCTATTTCTTTACCTGCGACTTCATATCTAATTTCATCAAATAAGAATGCAAATGCATTATTTATAAAATGACCTTTATCATGATTTTCAATTTCTCCCTTAATATACAGATAACTCCTACACGGGAGAGTTAGCAAATCTTGATTATTAATACATATTCGAATTTCATCGGAATTATTTATTGCCAAAGTGTTGTGGGGAACATAGGAGTGATTTGTAATTTTAACCACACTATCGTCGAATTGGGATTTCCCTGTAACGTCTAGAAAATCTTCCATTTTTATTAATAGAAAATTTTAACTTTAGTCCTATTGATCGTAGGAACCTAGCATTTTGTACACTTATAGATAAATTCTTATAAATTCTCATATCTTTTTTATATGACAAGTAATTGTAGTTTCTTCTCCATTAAAGTCAATTGCCTTGTCATGCTGATCGGCAAATGTAATACTGACAACATCTAAACTTCTCTTATTTACAGGAAAATATATAATATTTCTTGGAACTTCAATAATTTTGTAGCCAGGAGGAGCTTCTGGATAAAAGCTATGTATGGTG